AACCTTGACCTTGTCCGTATTTCCAGGTAACTCATGATATTTCGTGATCTCAGCCCCGTCCTATTACCAAAACATGTACTATGTTTCACTGACGCACAGTAAATCCTTCTCACGGTAAACAACCCCTTTTGAGGACATAATCTTGACGAGGACATTGACTCACAAGACGGCATATCAGCTTGCCAAGCAACTGATCCTAGGCTGTAACGGAGATATGAATGATGTGATATTCTTAAGATGCCCAAGCACCGCCAGCTAAAACACAAGGTGGTGGCGATGGGCAGTTACAGGAACAAAGACCACCTTTTTTGTGGAGATATTTAAAACCAACTGTGTAATCTTAAACCTCAGAGTCCCAGCACTCCTACAAACCAGAGAACTTTACTGTGATGTCTGCCCTTGGCTCCTTTTTGGGTTGCAGTCTAAGCCGGTCCAGGTCGCTTGCTACATGAGTTGTTTCTAAGAGTTCTAAATTCATCGAGTTGTCTTAATATATTAGATGGAAATAAACTGCATTGCAAAATTACGCTCAATATAATCATGAGGTTTGTTTTAGAAATGATATATCACATAGGATAGACATTAAAATAATAAACATGTCCAGCAAAAATATATGATTGTATATGACATAAAACAGTTATCAAAGTATATTATTCAGATTACCTAACCAAATACAGTCATAATCTATAGGACATTTTCACTTACATTCCCTTTGAACACTTCTTGAACCGGAAACGCGCCCCTCTATTGACTACTTTACGCTTATTTGAGATGACTCGCTGAACGGATCACATGTCGGACAAATGAAAACGGTTTCGGCAGAAGCTCCCAAACTCAAACTGTGGTATACCGTTACTTTGATGACAGCAACTAGCGAAGATCTGATAGATATATCGGATGTGATCAACGGTTAATTTCCGGGGAGAGAGCAGTCGGAGCTTCAATCATCTGCTGTCACTTGAGATGGGGAGAACACACACACACACACACACACACACACACACACACACACACACACACACACACACACACACACACACACACACACACACACACACACACACACACACACACACACACACACACACACACACACACACACACACACACACACACACACACACACACACACACACACACACACACACACACACACACACACACACACACACACACACACACACACACACACACACACACACACACACACACACACACACACACACACACACACACACACACACACACACACACACACACACACACACACACACACACACACACACACACACACACACACACACACACACACACACACACACACACACACACACACACACACACACACACACACACACACACACACACACACACACACACACACACACACACACACACACACACACACACACACACACACACACACACACACACACACACACACACACACACACACACACACACACACACACGAAACGCGCCCCTCTATTGACTACTTTACGCTTATTTGAGATGACTCGCTGAACGGATCACATGTCGGACAAATGAAAACGGTTTCGGCAGAAGCTCCCAAACTCAAACTGTGGTATACCGTTACTTTGATGACAGCAACTAGCGAAGATCTGATAGATATATCGGATGTGATCAACGGTTAATTTCCGGGGAGAGAGCAGTCGGAGCTTCAAGCATCTGCTGTCACTTGAGATGGGGAGATTGCTGTAAAAACTTGTCTATAGCCCCCTGCATATAGACTTGCTCAAGGACCTATACTTAAGAAAAACACACGTCATGCGGTTATTATATAGTATTAGAAAAATACAAAATCACGATAGGACAAAGGCGCCTGTGTTTAATTTAAACAAACTGAATTTATGTTTTATTAAATAGACATTCGCTATTACTTCAAAGACATTCTAGATCTAATTTCACTTGCAGGCCTAGGGCAAGGAGACGTTCTTTCTGCACGTTTTTTCATGATGCGAAGATACCCGGAATTTCTTTTCTATTTCCTTTTATTAGCTTATCTTACGCCTGCATAGCGTGGTTTGTCGACAATGGGCGCGGGATGATGATGATACCGCCAGCGATGATTGTAATAATATTGAGTTCGTGAGTTGAGCTTTACGCCGCTTTCAGCAATGTTGCAGACATATCACGACGAGGCCAACATGAACAATACACGTCAATATTTGTTGCGTCTATGTGTACATCCGTGTGGGTGTACACGTTAAACCTTCATACGCATAAACGCTAATACTTATTGACTTCAAAACATAAAAATAAATATATATTCACAGACGGTTTACTCAATTATCAACACTCACATCCATCAATGCATGCACAGATACAAGATTGGCCTCAAGGGAGATTATCCATAACCACAAACACACACACCACAGACAGACACCACAGACACAAACACGTATACACCACAGACAGACAGACGCACACCACAGGCAGACAGACATACACACACTACAGACAGACATTCACACACTACAGACAGACATACGCACACAGCAGACACAACAGACACTCACACACAACACAGACACTCACACACACACAGACACTCACACACAACAGACACGCACACACAACAGACACACACACACACACAGACACTCACACACAACACAGACACTCACAGACACGCACACACAGACACTCACACACACAACACAGACACTCACACACAACACAGACACACAACACAGACACGCACAAGAGATACCCCATACATACAACACAGAAGAAAGACACATACATACAGTCAACTCTCTCGCTCTCGCTCCACACACACACAACACACACACACTCACACACACACACACACACTCACTCACACACACACACACACACACACACACACACACACACTATTTCTCTCTTTTGACCCGTGAAGTGTGTTTGGATGTATTACCAAAGTTACCCACTGTGCAAGTTCGGTCAGTTTCTATGCATAACCTCCGGAAAACAAAAACGTTAAAATTCGCGACTGTAGTTTCGTTTATCACATTAAAAGCGAGAGTCAGTTATTTTAAAATGAAGTATACACCAGATCTATAAGAATGAGCCGTTGTTGAAAACAGGTCACTTTTCAAAATGACCAAAAAATCCCACAATAAACCCGTGCCAACATATTGCTATACTTGCCCAAATATCAACCACTTATGTTGCTAACAATGAGCGCTACCCCTTTTGAACGGGTACCTACAGTAAACATGTCCGCGGATCAGTGATGACGTCAGTGTATTGAGATCATAACAGTTTCACCTTTCGTAAACATTTACTTTGTATTGATATGTAAGAAGCGGATGAATATTGCAAGATCTCAAGTATCGACCCGTATTTTGTCTCTAGCCTGAATATACCGAGTAAGAGTTTGATGGCTTATTTAGCCAAATGTGCATAACAAATATATAATGAGAAATGTTAACATAATGTTACCATGGCAACAGTTTGTGTGTAGTTTAATGTCTGATATTATTTCCTGGTTAATTGCCTGGTATTATTTCCTGACTAAAAATATTATCTCTTCAAGGCTATTTGTACATCTGGCAATCGCTTTCCTACATGTACATATGTGGGTTCGTATATAGTTGAACACAAATGAAAAAAAATTACTTAAATTCGATAATGCAAACGAGTTGGATTGTCGGCGAGGTACACCAGCTGGAACACCACGTGCCACAAGGCAATAACCGATATACCAGCAGATGTTGGCCGTGCGAGGCCGCTCCCCATCTCGCCACTCCACGAGACCGGATTGATTAACATTACTTGTCATGCACACAAATGCAATTAGCACTGGACGTTGAGAATCACTGCATGATGACATCTGGACTTGTATTCAACTTCATATAATACACAGGCCACACTTACAAACAGGGATCACGTTCCCTTCGCAGCTAAACATATCCTGGATTGAGGGCTGCGACAGGGCGATTAGATGTAATATACCAGGCCATGTGTTCTCGTGTACGTGTGGGGCATGTTTTCCTGATCTGGGTATATGTCATCTGAAGTCATACCCGGGTGTGAACATGTGTGGCCATTGATCGGACACCATGTGATATAATATCCGGCATTTAACGAGGGTAGTGTTGATTATCGTCTTCATACATTACAATATTACCGAATATTGATAAATCAACAATTCATTTATGACCTAAAAGTTTTCCGCGTCCATATTTTTACCTTACCTTGTTCAAATAACCGTTCGGCTGTTTTATAGATATCGACAAATTCATTCATAATAAACCCCTACTAAGACACCCATACGGGAACGGGCCCACATGAAGTATAACATTCTTGTGTCAGTACGGTTGGCACACACTCTACTTGCTTGGATCTAAAGGAACTGTTATTTAGGTCCGTGGTACTTCTATTTTAGAGAAAGAAAACAAACAAATTACATGAACCTAAGATAATACTAACATCGAACGAATTTAGTTCTTTCAAAGCGTACTTCAGTCCAATATTGTTTAGATTAATACGCGTTATTACAAATATTACATACAATGCGTACTGCACTTTGAAGTCACCCCATGCTGCAACTTGTTGTTCGGACACACGCGCGCACGCACGCACGCACGCACGCACGCACGCAACATACACAACGTCCGAATGCACACATTACAAAACACCGCATTTAACACAAGGCGCAACAACCATGACACTCATTAACATATTTCCAACCAAATTTATAAGTTTAATAATCCATTACTCAAACGAACACAACGACGTTACATAATGCTGTCGATTATCCAAAATTAACAGTCAGTAATGTATAGCTCTTGTGAGTTTTACCATTCGTTACGTCACCTGGCTGAACGACATCTGGACTTCGGTAAATGCGATACCACATTTCCTGACAATAGGAGTTATCGTTCTTTGGCAAACCACCGCTAGGTGCAGATACACGATCGTCTGCACTCAAGGAATCGGTGGTGTAAGCGAGGGAAGAAGTAAGAGACACACGGCTGCTTCAAATGCCGTGGAACGGTAACGACGGGAATGCACAGTTTCTTCAAAGGATGAGTGGTGGATAGACACAGTGTGAACGTTCATAGCTTATAGATCGATGTTGTAGTTTACTCGTCAAGTTTCGTCTGCTACAGCTAGTAGTTGGAATATCATTCCTGTGTGCGCTATGTGTTTTTGACATCGAATTTATCGTCGACAGCCAGCGTTAACCCGCCAGTGTACTAGATGTTCACGATACAGACTCGTACACAAACGGACCCCAGCTTTGCTTGTACCAACGACTGCGGAGTGTTTTCCATGAACATGTAAATAGTAAGGCATGAGGTGTCGACTTGGTTACAACAGCTTGTGAAGGAGTGAGGCAGGTCTGTCTGCTGCAATATAACTGGAGTGGCGGCAAGTCGCCTGTGCCAAACTCTTCGCTACCTTACACGGTAGCTAGCGCCTTTGACTCGAGCTGTCTTTCTAAAGATAGATTTTCGCGTAGTATTACATGTGTAGTCTTACTAGTAAAGAGAAATCAGGACCTTGTGCTTTGGTCTCATTACTACTGATACCTGTGTATTGATTAAATTGACTTTTCATAAGAACGATAGGTACACACCAGCTTTTTCCCTTGGATAAAAACCAAATGTGCAAACCCAGCTATCGGACCTACTGAGAGTGGAAAACATACACACATGTTGTATATATATATATCAGTTTTTTGACTGAATGGATACTTGTGTTGTGTATTCTAAAGAGAAGCTCACTTAAGTATTTTTTTCTTTCTTACCAGAATTTCAACCATTCCAAACCTCTAATCATGGGTTTTATGAAATATTTGTCTGGATTTACGAGGAGCAAGGGTTCCTTGCAAGCAGGTATTGGGGTTGCATTTGTTTTCGCATTACTGCTAGACCTCACTTCAGTGTCTCTAGCTCAGTCATCTTCAACTACATCCCCAACTGCGCCTACATCTACAGCTACAGTTAATGTTACTGAAAAGGTATGTGACAGGGCAGCAACACCCTGCAAAAAAGGTGTTCTAATTCCTCTGTGGTCGCCAACTGGAGACCTAAGTGTTGGAGACAAAGCTGCCAGGGCAACAGTTTATATGACCGCAATTATTTACATGTTTTTGGGAGTATCCATTATTGCCGATCGCTTCATGGCTGCCATTGAAGTCATCACATCCAAAGAGAAAGAAGTGGTCATCAAGAAACCCAATGATGTGACCGCTGTTGTTAATGTTCGAATTTGGAATGAAACTGTCTCTAACTTGACTCTCATGGCTTTAGGATCATCAGCTCCTGAAATTTTGCTATCTATTATTGAAATATGTGGAAACCAATTCAAAGCAGGAGAGTTAGGTCCAAGTACAATTGTAGGAAGTGCTGCATTTAATTTATTTGTTATTATAGGTTTATGTGTATATTGTATCCCAAATGATGAAGTTCGGCGCATCAAACATCTGCGTGTATTTTTCATCACTGCAACATGGAGTGTGTTTGCGTATCTCTGGTTGTACTTCATCATTTCAATTTCATCCGTTGGAGTTGTTGATGTATGGGAAGCTGGACTAACTTTATTATTCTTTCCAGCCACTGTTGCAACAGCATATGTTGCTGACCGAAAAATCCTCATTTATAAATTTTTGTCCAAAAAGTATCGAACAGGCAAGAGGAAAGGTGTTGTTGTCCAAACAGAAGGAGATGCTGAAATGGCAGCAAATCCTGAAGATAATGTCCAGTTCAAAGGAATGGATTCTGAGGATTCTGACGTCAAGACCTTTGAACAACATAGAAATGAATTTATTGAAATAATGCGTGAGCTGAGGAAGAAAAATCCCAACATGGACATGAAAGCTCTGGAAGAAATGGCTGAATATGAAGCTGTAAACCGTGGACCTAAAAGCAGAGCATTCTACAGAATCCAGGCGACCAGAAAACTGACTGGTGGTGGCAATGTCATAAAAAAGGCTAAGATTGAACGACGGGCCAGTGTAGAAGATGTTAAGATTGATGTTCGTGGTGATCCCAACGTCACCAAGGTTTTCTTTGACCCAGGACACTACACTGTCATGGAAAATGTTGGTACCTTCAGTGTAACAGTCAGCAGGGAAGGAGGGGGACCTGAGTAAGACCCTCTATGTTGATTATAAGACTGAGGATGGCACTGCCAATGCAGGTTCTGACTACATGTATGCTGAAGGGACCTTGGTTTTCCAACCAGAGGATATCCACAAGCAGTTCCCAGTCACCATCCTTGATGATGACATTTTTGAAGAAGATGAACATTTCTACATCCGTCTCAGCAATCTACGACTGGGAGACTCGCAGGGCATGTTCGAAAGTGGAACACAGAATGCAAAGGCGGAGTTGGAGACACCGTTCATGGCAACTGTTATGATTCTTGACGATCACCCAGGTATCTTTCATTTTGACGAAACTGAAGCTACAGTTACTGAATCTGTTGGAGAGATGGGTGTTAGAGTTGTTCGGTCATCTGGAGCACGTGGAATAGTGAAAGTGCCGTTTCATACAGTCGATGGAACAGCAAAGGCTGGACGTGACTACGAAGTGGAATATGGTGAACTCACCTTCGATAATGATGCAACTGAGTAAGTCTTTCTTTGGATTTCTTTTCCCATTAATAAGCACCATTAACTGTTAATCTGATTGATATTAACATGGTATTTTCAGGACTTCTACAGATGATCGGTGTTAGTAGTCAGTTGTCATAGCTCAAACACGCTAAATGTTATGAACTCACATACTCGCCTTTGTATTTAAGGGTGGGGAATGAAAGAAACTTTCTGACAATGCTCATTTCAACAATTTCAACATTAATTCTTGGATGAATCCTGATACGTTTTCAATCCAAGTGAATAGATCCCAATACTGCAACAGTGTTTTAATGATTATACCCAATAACAAGACCTTTGTACCATATGCATGTTTGACGTCAGGTAGACGAACATGTTGATCTCATGGACCATTTCCTTCCTCAGGAACCCTAGAGTAGCCGGTAGGTTTTTATCAAAAGAAATATTGGCAAGACCAGAGAAAATGATATGCCAATTAGCCTTGCAGTCGGTATGACCCCAGCCGGCACAGGAGTCATAGGCAGTGTACAAGGACATCCTCAAAATGTGGAAAGCAATGAGATAAACAGCACCAATGATGAACAATGTAACTTCTTGGAAAATGTTAGTACTCCTGCCCACAAGATACCGGTGTCAGGTTCACGAACAGGCAGTAGACTAAATCTTGGTCACGTTATAAAGATACAGATGATCAAATGGGTAGTTTTGCCTCTTACAGATGTATGTATGCCTGGTAATGAACTTGTACAAGGTGTTTGTATTATGCCACAAGGACTAGCTTGGACTAGCATGGATTAACTAAAACAGACTTAGAATACTGCTTGAGAGCATCAGTCACCATTATAAAACAGAAAGTCAATGAAATGTCAGACCTGTTGACTTGGCTGCAGGGAATGTTTCATGTGTAAGCTGTTGTATTATGCTGTTGACCTTAACTTCACGTTTCCTTTACAACAGGACAACATATATCATGCAGAGTTCTTTATTTTTGTAATTCTTCTCTTGGTGTTTTTGCCATTTTGGAACATGCTACTTATTATTATGATGCAACAGTGAGTGTCTCTTTGAGGAGTCATTTGATATCATAGCAGTGACATTTGTGTCCCAATTACATCCCCAAATCATCCTGATCCAGCCCTGCTTTGCATGGACTGACCACAGTTACATAGTCTGTGTCACCTTATTGTTGATACCTGACTTTCAAAGTTTATCATAATTCAGGAGACTCTACAGTTCAGGTTCTAAGGAGTATTGTAAATACTGCAGGATGGACAAAGTGTTCTTCACAAACTTCACTGTGTGACTGTGTTGGGGGTGTAGGTGAACACTTTAACTATGGTGCTATGCCATCTTCCATAAGAAATGTAAAATAATTTCATATTTCCATTGTATCAAATGTGACAGAAGCAGACACTTATACATTGTCATCAGACTGTGATCTGTTAAATATTCATGTTGCAGTTGATTATATGAAGCAGTCAAGAGCAGTTGGTTAAAATGACTCTGTTGCAAGAAAATCTATCAGATGTATGAATTTGATTGAACAGTTTGGTACCTCTGTTGTCTGGTATATATGTGGTTTCATGAGGTAATCTGAAACAAGGTCACTTCATGAAAGGAATCTGTGGTCATTCAGTAAAGTTGTATTTCCTGTGAAGATTGTGCAAAAGGGATACATATGGGAAGTCTAGGCAGGTAGATCCCATGGAGTATCCCTGGGTATCACTGACCATGTGTTCAGTCATCATGACATCCACATTTAGCTTACAAGTTATTGATATTAATATACAAGTTTATGGACATTCTGTTTTAAGGACAGTTCATTTACAGTTGCTAGGATTTGTGCCTGTAGGAACTCATAGTAATGCTGACTGTTACAGGTATGTTGCTTAAAGAATATGATCAGGGATATATTGGATGAATATTGTGTCAAAATATGCCAGATTCCTGCTTCATGCGAAACTGATGTATTGTGTGGGTGAATAATCCAGGGTCGCCCCACAAATCATACACCTGACACATGGCTGTGTGTGCCTCGCTCTGATTTGTTGTTATCATCCCACAGAGAAATAAGGATACAAAGCTAAGTAATTCACCCTCCGCCCTCAGTCTCTTGTGGGACGGAGCTAATGCTGACATTTCCACAACATCTTGAGAAGGTGTTGGGATACTGCGCTGGTCATGAATAAACTGTTAGGTGCATTCCGAGACCGAAATAGATGAATATTCATTCTGTCCTATCAGTTGCTGTTATTGTTTTCCGCTTTCATTTCCTTCTACACTTTATATATAGGGGAAGTATATTATGACCTATCTATGCTATGTCATATTTGTCATTTTATATCAATAATGTGAATAAGTCACAAAATTAGCAGATAGCAGATAGCTCCAGAATTTCTGATTAGTCTCGTATCACATGACACCATAGTCATACCTGTTGGTCAATAATAAGACTTTAATGGAGGTAATGGTCTGTGTAGTTGGAATATCGCAAACAACCCCTTGCAAGCTGCATTGTTTAATGTAAAAGAGTATAACCAGTGTGCTAGCCAAATTGTACAAATAAACTGCTTAGATATTTTGGGAGATTGGAGAAGTTAAGCAAGCGATACATGAGGCTGCATGTTCCTGTAATTAAGGAAAGACAATGTTTTGCTCTCAAGGTATTAGTGTCTGAAGGGAATCCACGTTTTTTCTAGACAATGTCATTCCTGTTGAAGTGGTCCAGATTAACATATTTCTCAGTTAGAAGATGATTCTAACAGAGTAATGTTCTTGGTAAACATGTATATGTACCAAACTGTCAGTTTCAGACAGGGTAATGTTGTTGGGGTTTCCCTGCAAATAATACAATGCCCAGCAAAAACAACTTATAACTTAAAAGGTAAATAATCTTGTCTAGTGATGTTTCACTGCAAATTTGACGTCTCTGCTGACAAGGTCGTCTTCTGTTGTTTGTTCACGCGAAGTGATACAATGTTGTTTTCTTACCCCTGGAAAAAAGTTTGACGAAAGCGTAACCCATGGATAAGACGACCCCCTTCTACAGACTTCTTTTTTTGGTCCTGAAAATTCGGCTTATAGACTGTCATAAACGGTATGTATTGGCAAAATGCTGAACATGCAACACTGTCATTATTTGTCAGAGCATGCTAGATTGGTCTGGGGCAGTTACAGCTCTCTCAAACAGCAACATTATTTTTGTGAAGAGTTACGTCAATTGAGCACATGAGAATCCTGTCATCAAGTCCCATATTCGCCGTGTCGTTGACCGGTACCACTTTGGATGTTCCTCACACATTCAGCTTAGACACCAGGACAGAACCAAAACAACCGTTCACAGCAGAGTTAAAGCTGAGAAACTCACTGTTATGTGAATTATTGTCTATTGAAAATGTATATACAGATATTTACACTAACAAAATTGATATTTATGCAAACAAAATATGTTTATGGAAACTAGTTTTTGTTGAGAAACATAGTATCTTTTTAAGAATAGACAGATTTTGTAGATATATTTATGCATGAATGAATAATCTGAAGAGTTTGTAGATAAGATACCTTATGATAATCATGCTATTTTTGGGTGCTGTTGATAGCCTTACATAATATATACATGATGCGTAACCCATATTACCTATTGATGAGGATGTAACCTACAGGGATTAGCTATCAACAAGGTTAGGCCTTCTTCTTGCCTGCCAGAGCAGTGTCGTATAATGAGATTAACCTGAAAGCTAATCAAGTATTTAATGCATCAGTCAGATACTGTGTGGATTAGTCTTACTCCACAACTGGAGTCCAGTGTTGTACAGAACACTTTCAGCTGGTTGCCGTAACTTTATTATGCTGATAAAAACAAGGAAACTTCCTCATGGGAGACAGGAACTGATTATTGTTCTGGGGAAATCAAAACTTCATAGCAGATGGAAAAGACTTAAGCTTCAGTTTACTTCATTTGGGTTCACAGGTTATTTAAATGGAATGGATTATTGTGAAAAAACGTTTTAGTCAGGATTCTTTAAAGTCCATATTTTCTGAACACAATATTTAATATTTCATTCAAATGTGAATTTTTTTAAAGTATTACAGTGTTTTCTTGTTTATTAGTTAGTGCTCCATGTAACTGTACAAAACATTCACCAGTGTAACCTCATATTGAAAAATGAGGCCTATTAGTACAAGTCAATGTGATAAATTAAACATCAGTGAGAGCAGGGTTCTGTGTGTGGATGGTGCATCTGTATCAAAGACATATGGTAATAGTAATTCTTTGACTAGTATTGGCGAAGTGCATTAGTCTGAAATTACTGCTGTCGAAAATATTCTTTACTGATAACAGACCATGTATGCAGAAAGGTCCTGTGGTAAAGAATCACCTGAGGATGTATAAATATTAGAGCTGTGACGATATATCGTAGTATTGATAATCGTGATACTTTATCCAACGATAAATATATTGATACGTTTTTTTGTATCGTGATATGTATCGTTGACCTAAAAATTGTTAATTTCCACTAGATATTGACGGTTTTGTCAAAATTTACACTGTCACTTGCCATTAAAATAAGATTTTTTAAAGAACATAACTAAAGATAGCATATCGTGATATGCATTGAATCGAATCGTATCGTTCCAAGATATCGCGATACATATCGTATCGTGAAATTTCTGTATCGTCACACATGTAATAAATATGGAGTACAAACGGTCCATCAGTGTGCAGGCGACTGTGTTTCTGCAAACCTGGGTCATGACATGATTATAATATACAAATGTCTTCTAATGATCACTTATGGAGGAAATTAAATATTTCCTGTTTGCTTTCCCTCAGCTAGTGGGGCAAATCAATATGCAGCTACTAGCACTGATTGTCCAATATCCAGGAAAAGACTGTAGGTAACCTCTTTGGAGCTTTGGACCATGAGAAACTTGCTGTCAGTGTGTTTACCATGTCTAAGTATGAATGTAAACAATTATGCCTTAATAACTGATTGTTAAATTTTCACAAGAGT